GCCCCCCCCCCTCCACTTCTTTGCCCTCTTTCTTTCCCTCCTTTTCTTTCTCTCTTTTCCTTCCTTCCTCTCTTTTCCTTCTTCTTTCCTTCTCTCTCTTTCCCTCCTCCTTCCCTTCTTGCTCTTTTTTTCTTTTCCTCCTTTCATTCTCTCCCACAGATCCCTCACTTACCCTGCTCCGGCGCTGGCCCACGGAGGCAGCGGGGAGCATCTTCTGGTCTCCCCCAGGCCGCAGCGCTCTGGCACTGGCCCAGGGAGGTGGCGACGGGCCTCCTCCGGCCTCTTCTGGGCCACAGCTCTCCAGCACTGGCCTGGGGAGGCGGCGACAAGCATCTTCTGGCCTCCTCTGGGCTGCAGCACTCCGGCGCGGGCCCCAGGAAGGCTGCGATGGGCACCCTCCGGCCTCCTCCGGGCTGCAGCGCTCTGGCACTGGCCTGGGGAGGCAGCGACAGACATCCTTTGGCCTCCCTGGGGCCACAGCGCTCTGGCACAGGCCCTGGGAGGTGGTGACGGGCCTCCTCATGCCTCCCTAGGGTCGCAGCGCTCTGGTGCCAGCCCCGGGAAGGCGGCGATGGGCCACAGGGTGGGGAGCTGGGGGCGGGGCTTGCTGCCGCCATCATTTTGCCAGCTCCTCAGCTCCCGGAGCGGCACTCTGGCACACTCCGGCCCCAAAAGACCCCTTGTAATAGGCAAAAGCTCAACAGGTATGGTCTCTGGAAAACTGGGTTTGATTCCCCCCTCCTCCACATGAAGCCAGCTGGATGACCTTGGGTCAGCCACAGTTCTCTCAGAACTCTCTCAGCCCCACCTACCTCACACAAAGTGTGGGGAGAGGAAAGAAAGGCAGTTGTAAGCCACACAGACTCCTTCGGGTAGTGAAGAGTGAGGTACAAAAAACAGCTCTCCTCCTCCTCTCATTGCTGTTATCTCCATGAAGCTGAAAATACTAGCCTGTTGGATTCATGCCTGTCATCCCACCTTTGAAAAGTATAACATCTTTGTGTAGCTTCTGCAACTACTGTGCTTTTAAAATCCGGTGGCTGGGAAGGCTAGGATGTGCAATGTTCTACATAACCAGTAGAGGGCAGAAGGGAATCAACTGAAGGGAGATGCTGTTTATGCTTTTAAAATAATGCCCATATTTAGCCTTTGACATTAACCCAATAAAATGCATTTTTAACCAATGTTGCTTTCAGAGGCCAAGATAAGCTTTGATATAATCAAATGCTTTTCTCTGGATCCCTGCTAGTTACATGTTTGGTTTAACTTTGATCTCTTTTTATTTGCAAACAGACTAGGAAATGCCACAGCACTGACATAGCCAACAGTGTCTGTGCAGCACAACCCTAAACCCACCACTTGCAAGACAGCCCCCAATATAGATCTCCTAAGCAACAGATGAGGAAGTGAACTGTTTCTGGGCTGTGTGACTCCAGCTAACACGTTGGGGGCTCACAAGACTGAATGCTCTTCCATACATAGCTATCTAGATCTCAGGAAGAAAGCTATGCTTGAACCCCTTCAACTTAACATCTAGCTTTGTTTGTGCAGGGAATTATTTTTGTGTGGGACCATTCAGTCATGTAAGCACTCACCCTACCCTCTGTACAATCCGAAATGGCACCATTGAGAAACAGGCTACTTACTCATCTGCTGTTTAGGAGAGCTGTTCCTGAAATAATAGAATTTACTTCTGAGCAAGTAGACATAGAGTTGCAGCACATGCTCCTTATACTGTATTTTGGGCTATACTTTGCCGCTTAAGGCAGATGCAGAGAGAGAGAGAGAGAGAGTGTGTAAGGAGTGTTGTTGCAGCTGTGCTTGTTTCACAGAATCCAACCCCCAAAATATATCACAGGAATCTCTGGGCCCACCTTATTTAAAATGGTTAGATTGCAAGCATAATCAAAGATCCTAATAGTGTAGCTGAAGATGGTTTCCCTAGATTTAGGAAGCCTAGCAATTTTAAAGCAATTATCTGTGCCCCAGGAATAAAAATCACCATTAATTATCTGGCCAACTTGCATGTTCATAAAAGGCAAATGAAATAAACTTCCTAGTATTATGCAGAAGGGAGAACCGCATACCTGAATTCTCCACCACTTCACAGTGATCTGCTACAGCCAGACTTTAATCCATAGAAAATTCATAGAAAAACTCTTTGTTTTTCTATGAGGTTTTTTGGGGAGGGGGTTATATAGGGGAATGTTAATTGTGTGATTCTGAGATAGTACAAACTGACAAGGGCTGGAGCAATGATTGAAAATACTCCCAAATGGTTCACTGCAGAGTGTACCTCTTTATCAGGAAAGGAGGGGTTGCTAGTGGAGAGGAATTGGCACATGAGCTCAGAGAGGGAGACACTCTGACCACCACAATGAATACTGTAATGTGCGAAGGGGAAATATGTATAGGCTGTAGAAGCTGCATACCCTGGAGTCTCAGTCAGTTTCAGTTCCAGAGGTTGTATGTACCATGTGTTTTCAGATGCATGAAACCCCACTGTGTGTTATAGTGGTCACTACAGATACCTATAGTGAACATATATTTCCATAATCTATGAAGCAGCCCTGATATCATCAGCATTTTTGCAAATCACTTAAATTATTGTGTCCCTTCCCCCCCCCTCGTTTGTCTAGGTGTGGATTCTTTACGCCTATGGGACCCGCCCACACCTGGTGAGCCAAATTGAGCAGTCTTTCTATGGTTTCACACTCTGGGCCATTGTGGTCAAGATCTCCCTGCCACTGGGCATCTTCTACCGCATGCACTCGGTGGCCAGTCTTTTTGAAGTCTACTGCAAGACCTGCGGAGCTCCAGCCTTGAGACAACTTAATGGGGAGGAAAGCACAGGTGGACATGCAAGAAATGCCCAAAGGAGCTGTTCTTTATAAAGATATATTTGTTATGCCATTTAACTATCCACAAGCAAATAATACATACACTTACCCTCACACATGAATAGTAGCCTACTTTTAAGATCAGGTGGTCATCTGGTGCATACGATTGGTAGATGAAACTTAACAGCATGGTCCGAGTATGTCTAAGAAACATTTGCTTCCATATGCTCTAATGGCATCTGTACGTCACTCTGTATGAGGGATGGGCAACTGACAATCCACATGAAGCAATTTTTTGCTGGCCCTTTTAGTTCTATGAACTTTTAATCAAAAGTATGCCAAACATATCGTCACAGTTTCACTGGGAATGTTATTTTTTTCCTAAGGGTATCCTTGTACTGAATCAGACCCTTGGTCCATCACAATCAATATTGTCTACTCAGACTTGCAGTAGCAATTCTAGGCCTCATGCAGAGGTCTTTCACATCATATATTACCTGATCCTTTCAACTGGAGATGCCGGGGATTGAACCTGGGACCTTCTGCATGCAAAGCAGATGCTCTGCCATTGAGTCAGGGACCCTTCCTTTACTCTTTTCCAGTTTCCCAACCAAGAGCTATTTGGAGAAGCACCATGTGTATTTTATATGAATTCCGTCTCATCCGTGTTCTGGAGAGGCAGTTCCAATTTAGTGGCTGGACTATATCGCTTATCCAGGGTTGCCTGCTGGCAGCCCATGAGCCAGATTCAGTACTCCGGCAACTCTATCTGGGCAATAGTTACACTGATAGATTTTACCGAAGGCATAATAACAATTCTGTTCACATTTTTGCTTGTAAGGAAAAGCAGCAGCGTGGCTGTATGTTTATAAAATATAAATTTTATTATATTGTTATCATGCATAATGTGGAAAGCAAAGGACCTTGAATGTATCTTTCAGGAAGTGCATTAGATCTTCTGCACTCTCAGTTGATGACCTCATGTAACCCAAGGGCATGTGCTCCATAAACCCCTTACAGATGAGTGATGTCAACAGTATTATAGAACTATGGGGGTCCACAAAGACATTTGAGGGGGGAAGGAAACTCATTTCCCCACTCCCATTGACCTTGCTTTTCCTTATTACTTCTGAGGGTAGTGGCTACAGTGTCTCCCCTTTCCTTCTCCCTCTAGCAGTCCCCCAAATGGGCTTTGAAATCTCACAAAGTAGTCTTGCAGTATCTCAGTTACACACCTTTAGGAAAGAAACAGAGGACTGGATTGTTCTGGCCCCTGGAATAGTGCTTGAGGATAGAATGAAAATAGAGAAATTGGCCATCCTTGCCTTAGCTTACCAAATATGCACAACGTGAGAATGTATAGAGCTGCTTTAATTGGAACTCTCTACCCTCCCATTGAAAATTTTGCAAGGGCCAAAGCCAACAATATTTTAGAAGCATTTAAATAGCTTCATATTTGGGCTAGCCTGTAGTAGCCAAGGATGTCAGTATGAAATAGGTATAATCCAACCACAGGTAACCACTTTAAAGATTTTTTTTTTTTTGCTGAAAGGATTTGATGTTTGTGTTCTGTTCCATTCTTCCACTGAAATTCATGAAATTTTAAAGTATTCAACTGCCTGCTGTATCTTAGTAAGATTTTATTCTTTATTATATAATGGGATTTCCCTTTATTATTTGCCTCCAGCTCTGGGGTTGGCAACCCCCAGTATGCATGGGAAATGGTGGCATAACAAACCATTTTGTTCAGCATGGCTGCTCCCTTGCTTCTCCCAAAAAGCTGGGATGGAGCCAAGATAGGCTGGGATGGAGCACATCTCCAAAGCAGCAATGTCATCAACCAGAGCTCTTTCTGGTCCCATCACCTGTAGGTGCTAGCAGCCCTGTCCTAGTGCTTGGTGCTGTACTGTGCTGGCACACAGCACAGTTGCTCAGTGCAGAGATGGGCATAGGAGGTTGTCAGTGAAATGTAAAGTGCCACCACCTTTTTGAAAAGTAAAAGCCATGAGTGCCACCACCCTTCACCCCTTAGCACAGTTCTCATCTCCACACCACACCTTTTTGTTTACCAGCATACCAGCACCTCACAGGTAGATGTTGCATTTTGTTCAGTGCATGGGCCAAAAATATTGCCTGCCCCATCTGCAGCTTATGAGACATGCCAACCTATATCATGGAAAAGAAGAAACTTCAGTACCCAAACCTGTGAAGGGCTATCAAAGTAGATGGAGGATTCTGTCACCACAACCACCTTGGGGTTAGTTTTGCTGGCTTGATTGCAATTTATCTGGTCTTCATAGTTGCCCTAATGCCAGAAGGTATTTTGTCTTAATGTCATCACTGCCCATCTAATCCATGTCACTTTTTGATACGGTGAGATCCAATAAAAGTCACTTTTTTCTTTTTTATCATCTCTGTAGATTTCTTCAAAATCTTCCCAAGACTATTTTTCTGTATCAATTAGTTGTTTATTCCATTGGAATTCTGTATTTTTAGTTAGAAAACAAGCCATTGCTGCCTATGAAAGGTACATAGTTTTCTGGCCCCTGAATTAAAGCAGATTCTGCCCCGCTGTCTTAGAGGATTCTAGGACATGCTCTCACTTTTCAATAGCCTAGCCAGATCAGACATGGGGGATCCAACACTCTGATGGAACCGTATCGATTGCCCTCACACAAAATCCCCCAAAACCTAGCTCTGTAGTTGATTTCTCTAGTATGGGAGCATCTCAGGAGAAAAGGTATCTGCTTTTGCTTGGAACCCTGCCTGTGCTTTTGGTTGTGCACTACAGTGATGGAGCAATAGAAAAAGAAGCTGTTCCTATATGGATGTACTGGGAAGCTCTACTTCCATCTGTGACAGAGTGTACCTTTTTAAAGAGGGACAACCCAGTGTATACACTTGAAGGTGTAATGGCATCCATATGCAGTGCAAGATTTCAAGGATCAGAAGTGCACCCAGTACACTGCCTACCCACTAGATCATACATTTCAACTGGGCAACTACCCTATGAATTTGAACAAGCACAAGTACTTCCGATGGGAAACACACCACATTTCAATAGGAATTAATTGATAATGGTTAATGATGGGATGAGCACAAGTATATTATTTACAAGCAGGGGACTCACAAGGACTTGTGGGGGACATATTCTTTTCCCCTTCTCCACTCTGTCCCTTCTCAGAAAACCCCCATAGGCTCTCACTTTTTCCTCCTTTTCCTCCCCCTGCTGGCTGAGTTGTGCAGTGCTGGCTGCCTGGTCAGATCCAGTTGTGTGTGCTGGGCAATGTACAAGAACTTGTGAGGGGAACCTCGGTTTCTCTTGTAAGGTGATGTCCATTGGGACAAAAAAACTGCAGCTTCAAGTATAGGTTAATGTGGTCAGAACTTGCTGAGACTGAGGGAAAAGATCTTGGGGTCATCATGGATACCTCAATGAAAGTGTCAACCCAGTGTGCTGCAGCAGTGAAAAAGGCAAACTCTATGTTAGGGAATATTAGGAAAGGGACTGAGGATAAAATGGCTGATATTGTAATGTATTGTAAAGAGCTATGGTGCAGCCTCATTTGGAATACTGTGTACAGTTCTGGTCACCCTATCTCCAAAAGGACATTGCAGAGCTGGAAAAAGTACAGAGGAGGGCAACCAAGATGATTAGGGGGTTGGAGCACCTTCCCTATGAGGAAAGGCTGAAGAGCCTGGGACATTTCCAGTTTAGAAAGGAGATGACTAAGTGGGGGTCATGATAGAGGTTTATACAATTATGCAGGGGGTGGAGAGAGTTGACAAAGAGAAATTTTTCTCCCTCTCCCAAAATACTGGAACTCAAGGGCATCCAATGAAGCTGATGGGCAGTAGTTTCAGAACAGACAAAAGGAAATACTACTTTACACAGAGAGTGATTAAAATGTGGAATTTGCTGCCAGAGGATGTCATGATGGCCACAGGAATAAACATCTTTAAAAGGGGATTAGATAGATTCATGGAGGATAAGTCTATCATTGGCTACAAGCCATGGTGACTTAGGGGAATCCCCACATTCAGAGGCACTAATCCTCTGAATCCCAGAGCCAGGAGGCAACATCAGGGAAAGGTCTCAGCCTCTATGCCCTGTTGTTAGCTGTCCAGAGGAACTGGTTAGCCACTATGTGAGACAGGATGCTGGACTAGATGGACCATTGGTCTGATCCAGCAAGGCTCTTCTTATGTTCTTATATATTCCTTACCCTCATTTCCCTCTAGATCCCTTTCCCCATGCTATTTCCTTCCCTTTTCCTGCTTCCTTCTCTCCTTCAACCCATCAACCAACATACCTTTTATTTGTTCTCCATCTTCAGCTACATTATTTATTTACTACATTTATACCACGCCTTTCTCAAAAATGTAGAACAAAATCAGTTTACATCATTCACCTCTCCTCCACTTTATCCTCACAACAGCCCTGTGAGGTAAGTTAGGCCCAAAATGTGTAACTGGCCCAAAGTCACCCAGCAAGTGTCCATGGTAGCTTGATGGAAACCTGGGTTTCCCAGATCCTGGGTGATTGAAACCTGAAATCTGTGGTGATTGAAACCTGGGTCTCCCAGATCCTAGTCTGAAATTCTGATTACTATACCACACTGAGTTTTGTGGGGTGGCTGGTGGTGAAAAGTAGCAGGCCTGGTGAATCATGGAACTCACATAGTTGTCCTGTGGTTGCTGGTGGGCCTGGTCCCAATGAGTCCTCCCTCAAAGGCCAAAATAGCCCTGGAAAGGGCTCTGTCCCTTCTCCCTGCCTTTTACTGATAGATACCAAGGCTTCAACTGGCAATACTGCTGTAGTTGCCTAGAGATAGCAACAGAGGTTTCTTAAAGATACAGACATGGCTTATATTATTTTTGGAGCTTCCCCCCCTCCCCATGTATGTTTGTTAGTTTGTTTTAGATTTCATATTTTTCTACAGACTTGGGGCATGTCTTGAGTTTGTAGAAAAGTCTGTCTTGTCTGTTCATAGCTCCAGTCTCCAGATTTAGGTATCTAT